CTTTCTCAGTCTCCCCCGAGCCCTGATGTCAGTCCAGTTTTACAACAGTAGCACCATGCAGTATTTGTCCTTTTGTGACCGAGATATTTCACGTAGCATAATGTCCTCCAGGGTCACCCATTTTGTATAATATTGCATGAATTCCTTGTTTTTCAATGCAGCGTAGTATTCCATTATGTGAATATACCACAGCTTTTCTATCTATTCATTTGTTGACGGGCACTTAGGTTGTTTCCAAATTCTTGCTATTGTGAACAAAGCCGCAATAAACATGGGTGTGCATATATCTGCTTGGGTGGCAGTTATGGTCTCTTTTGGGTATATTCCCAGTAGTGGAATTGCTGGGTCAAATGTTATCTCTATTTGCAACTTTTTGAGAAAGTGCCATATTGCCTTCCACAGTGGATGTACCATTTTACACTTCCACCAATAGTGAATAAGGGTTCCAGTTTCCCCACAACTTTGCCAGCATTTGTTGCTAGCTGTTCTGTTAAATTGTGTTATTCTGACTGGGGTGAGATGATATCTCATAGTTGTTTTGATTTGCATCTCTCTTAGAGCTAGGGATTTTGAACATTTCTTCATGTGCTTGTTGGCCATCTGAATGTCTTCTTTGGTGAAGTGTCTGTTCATGCAATGGGTTTTTGTGTGTCAGGAAGTATGATGATGGCATAGGAGAGAATTAGGTTCAGATCTTTTGTTCATAGGGTCGCTATGAATCATACTTGACTCTATGGTACCTAACAACAACAACAACAACAACCTAACAGCAACAACCTAACAGCAACTTAGATTTGATTTAAAAGTAATGCACATATTATTAGTTGAATTTAGAGTGTAATCTGGATTAATAGCACTGATTTTAAAATGGTGGGTCTTCCCTACCCAAAGATAGACAGTTGAAATCTACAAAATGCTCTACAGAAGAAGATGGACAATCTCCTCCTATGAAATTTACAGTCTCTTAAAACCTGTTAAAGTGTCAGCTGAGTACATTTTTACACTCCCCCACCTCCAGCAATGAGTTTAGTATATGCTGCTGTTGTTAGATGCTGTTAAGGTGAGTATGACTCATAGTGACCCTAAGAACAACAGATCAGAATCCTGTCCTATCCTATGCCGTCCTTATCATCTCTGACACATTTGCACTCATTGTTGCAGTCACTGAGTCAATCCATCTCATACAACGTCTTCCTCTTCTTCACTGACCCTCCACCTTTCCAAGCATGATGTCCCTTTCCTAGAAACAGCTTCTTCTAGCAACGTGTCCAAAGCATGTAAGATGAAGCTTTGTCTTCTTTGCCTCCAAGGAGCACTCTGGTTGCACCTTTTCCAAGACATAATCTGTTCTTTTGGCAGTCGGTGAGATAGTATTATTAAGACAAAGATAAAACCTTTTGCCATTGGGTTCACTGCAACTCATGGCAAGTCAATGTATGCAAAATGGAACTGCTTCATTGTGTTTGCTGGAGTTTTCAGAAGCAGCTGCTCAGAATTTTTTTTTTGAGACAGCTCTGGGTTAACTTTAACCATTTGTGCCACTAAGAGCCCCTGTTACTGAGCAGATACTTTCCTCCCAATGAACCATGTACCAGACTAGCATCTTTGCTCAGAATTATAGATTCAGGAGGAACTGACACTTATTTGGAAATCAGATCAGACAGTACTGTCACAAAGATCCTTGGCATTGAATTTGGACACTGTCAAGTGACTGTTGTTGTAATGTGCTGTTGAGTTGAAACCAACTCATTGCTGATTCTCAAGTGGTTTTTCAGAGGCTGTAAATTGTAGAGGAAATAGTACATCTTTTTCCTGTAGAGCAGCTAGTAGAATCCAAGTAAATGCCTTTGGTTAGCAGCAAAGCTCCTTACCACCAAGCCACCAGAGCTCCTTCCTCAAATATATATTCTGACCTATCTCCATAAATCTTCTATTTTGTACCATTTTGGAAAGGGTAATTTTTAATATGAGGCTGTGGCATTTCTTATTTACTTTAACCAGCTTCTACTTACTCTTTAGTCTTTGCATGATAGTAAATTACTATGAAAGCACATCTTGGAAAAGAAATATTATTTTGAGAATAAATGGAAAATTATATAGCCCTGAGAAATCTGAAAAAATAAGATTGCTGTTTTTTCATTTGCTTATAGTATTCAGAAATACTATCTTTGTAAATATATGGCATTTATCAATGCTGCTCTCATGTTATGGAGTTGAGACTGTGTATGTTATAAAGAAAGTGGCATGATCTAGTAGTGGAGAATGTCTGAAACATTAATGTGTGCAGGATCCACTGAGTATCCTATTCAAATGGAGATTTTTATTCCATGAGATTGGAATGAGGCCTGAGAGTCTGCATGTCTGATATCACTTATTGTTCCTCTACTTCCATTTGAGTATAAAGGAAATAGTGAGTCAATGATGAAAATGAAAGTAAATCAAAACCACCTGCATATCAGCAATGTGATGGTTAAATCTTCTATTTTAATAGTTCTTTTTTTATTAGGTCACTTCTTCCTTTGGAAAGGGATATCATGCTTGGTAAGGTCAATGAAAGAGAAGAAGACCTCCAACGAAGAGGACTGACAAAGATTCTTGACATTGAATTTGGTCACTCTCGAATGACTGTTGTGATGTGCCATCAAGTCAGAACTGAGTCATAGATGACCCTCTAAGTGGATTTTGGGAGGCAACAACAATGACTGCAACAAGGTGCTCAAGCATACCGGAGATGATGAGGATGGCATAGGGTAGTACAGCATTCAGGTCTATTGTTGGCAGGATCACTATGAGTTGTACTTGACTTGATGGCATCTATCACCAACACAGTAGGGTTCCAAATCAAGCCCACTGCCATCAAGTGGATTCTAACTCAAAACAACCCTAGAAGATAGAACAGAACTGTCCTATAAGGTTCCCCGGACTCTATACAGTTACAGAAACAGGCTGCTTCATCTTTCTCCCATAGAGCAACTGAGCACTTAACCAGTAGAAACTATGCAGACAAGAGGACAATAGGACGAATGCGTAAAAATCTGAATGAAAAAAATTGCCAAGCAAGAATCCTGTACCCCAGAAAATATTCTATCTAATATGAAGGTGAAATTAGAATATTTCCAGATAAACAAAAACTAAGATAATATGTGAAAACAAGAGCAACTCTATGAGGGAGTTACACTGTTAACCCAAAAGTACTATCTCTGATAGTGCAAATCCACAAGCTTCCCTGCTGGAGAAATATAGGTAATCTCCTCCTATGTGATTTACAGTCTCCCAAAAACCTGCTGGAGGGTTAACTGTGAGTTAGTTCTAACTCAAAAGTGAGTAAATAGGAACAACTCTACAAGAAATCCTAAAAGGAGCTCTTTGCACTGAGTCAACAAAGATAGACAATAATCTAAAACCAGCATATCTGACAACATCATTCAGAAACTATTCAGGACCCAGAAATACACAAAGTATATTAAATATGTTGTTGTTGTTAAGTGCCGTCGAGTCACAGGTGACTCATAACGACCCTATGAAGGAAAGTCCTTATTGCTTGGGTGTCTTTCATCCTCTCTCCAGGTTTGTAGGGTTTCCAGAGGCAAGCTAGTATGGAAGTGGATGCCACTCCTCCTTCCAAGCTCGTTTTAATCAGGGAGATCCACCCCACTCTCTGCCCACATTGGGTAGCCAACCATTAACGCATTTGACACATCAGTGTCACAGTGTTCAGCCTCACAGCAACCAAAAGTGACCGCTGTACAGCAACTTGTACACCAGGGCTATATGACCCAGAGGAATGTCTGAACAACAAGTATGAAAGACAGGCTCGAGGGTGGCAGATCAAAAGTCACCCACCTTCACCTTGGTAGCATTGCCTTCTGTCCTCTGGGCTGACTGATCTCTCTCTACAACACTAAAAAAGTGGGAAGTCATTCTCACTTCTAAGGAACATTCTGACTTCACTTCTTCAAAAACAAATTCATTTGTTTTCCCTCTAGTCAATGGTATACTAGGCCTTCTTTCCCAGTACCATAATTCAAAGTCATCAATTCTCTTTCTGTACTCCTTATTCAGTATTTGCTTTCACATGCATATGTCCTGTTATGTGTAATGGTTGTGCTCATTGCATTACATTGTTTGATTTCTTGGCTGTTGCTCCCAAGGTTATTTATTCTGGTTCTAAGTAAAAGGAAATCATTGATAACTTAAAACTTTTCTCATCTATCATAATGTTCAGTGGTCAAGTTGAAAGGACTTTTCTTGTCTTGATGAAGTGTGATTCATAATGAATGTTTTTGGATTTCATCAGTAAATGCTTCATGGTTTGTTTTCAGT